AGAGCACCTCTAGGCTACATCAGTTCTGTGTGAGGGCAGTATTTATGGATCTGTTTAAATGTAAATAAATGTCTGTTTAAATGTAAATGACCCAACTCAAAGGCATCTCATGAATTCTTATTTGTTGTGAAATATCTACATGAATATCTCATTTACCTGAGCACAAGTCTCTTCTGGTGCAGTTGCACTGGCTCCAAACAGCACGGCCATGTCCAGGGTGTACACGGTGAATTTCTCCAGAGCATGGAGGACAGCAGGGGCCAGGTGGGAGCTCTGACCGGAGCCTGGTCTTCCCTCCAACAGCAGTCTGGGACGGTAGGATGTCGGCTGGCTTAGCACACTCCTACACAAGGAGAGATGACAGAGACTGAGATAGGTGAAATAGTGAGGATGTTCAGACTTATTTTCACTGAGGTTTTCAAGGGCTCATTAAGTTGCTTAAATTATGTTTTCAAAGAAAAGTAAAGATAAAGGGAACAGAGGGAAGACAAGTACAACACACAAGACTAAAAGTCTAAACTCCATAGATACAGTTGTAAACAAAATGTTGAGCTTCTCTGGGAAAAATTCCACATTTAGTTTATTTTTATTTTCTAAAGGGAAAGAAGTAAATACTCATTAAAATAAGCTTTTTTTCCACATGTTAACAGTTCACCATTATGTTTTATTTCATGAACTCAAAAATATAAAAGTTAAGGCATCCTTCTAAGTCGGAGCTTAGAAACCCCCCCATTTGGCAGATATCATAGCTTGCGAACACTTTTATCAACTCAGGAACACTCATCAGCTGGCAAATCCTACTGACAATACTTGACTTGGCATCCAAGTCCTACTGAGTTAATTTAGGCCTAATGAGTTAATGAAGTTCTAAGTGTTTTACAAGTGGTAGGGTCTCCAAAGTTTCATCAACTTTCAAGTTCATGAAATAAAAAATAACAGTGCATTAATATTTGAAAGTCACATTTTAATGTCTCTTTAGACACAGTGAGTAAAAAAATAAACCTGCTGCATAAAATTCTTCTCTGAATAATGGCTAACCCACCTGTTGAGGTTGAGGAGTCCATTAGCAGCAGGTGTTTTGAGTTTAGAGTGAGGGGTCTGTACGTTGGAGCAGATCTCCAAGTCCTCATCCTCACTGAACATCAGGTCATCCTCAGACACACCACAGGCCACATCTGGAAATGAACACACAAGCACAAACACACACTACAGCAGTTATCCCTAGTGGCCGACTGATGCTCCAAAAGAGGTTGGCAAATGAACAATCAATCTAGATGTTATCTATTCTGTAATTACTTATGGACACAGGAAATTACTTAAAATTAAATAAAAGAATGCACGACCATGAACAGAACACAAGGGCCAGAATAAATGAATGCAAAACAGAGCAAGAGAAGAGGACAAGCAGAACTGTACCATGTTCTCTCTTCCTCTTTAAGCCCTGCTCAGCATGCGGGAACACTCTGCTGACTGTGTGGAGGATGTTCTGCAGGGCGGAACTCAGCAGAGGACGGATGGCAGGAATCAAGGCCTTGGCTGGTGACACTACCGCCCTAAAAATCACAATTGTCATCATATTTACTGAATGACAGAGTAGTGTTTACACTAAAAAAAGAGACAGCAGCAAAATACACTACCTCTGCGCAGCTGGCACCATTTTGGACATGGCGGACATAAAGTCTTTGTTTGTGATGGCAATGGAGTTGACATCAAGTACAAGTTTCTGTGATGAGGAGTAGATTTGTGGGTAGCGACGCCGCAGTGCACACAGGGCAGCTTCTGAACACACTGCCTTGATGTCTGCTCCACAATAACCTGCCAAGTAAAGACACAGTTTATTGTTAAGGGCCACTGAAACCATCAGACAAACTTTAATCTGTAGTCCTGATAGTATAAAACTTTGTGCAAGTTTCCCCTGTAGAGATTCATGGATGGACTTGGAAGGATTTTGGTTGTGAGACACAGACTTTGTCTTGGGCTCATTCCAGGATCATTTCACATAAATGCACTTAAAAAGAATAAAAACTACTATTTTTGTTGTTATACCAAGTTGGAGAAGTTTAGCAAGATGTGTAATTTTTTCAAGCAGTTGGAAACCACTATGCAAACATACCAACACATTTATCTGCCAATTCCTCCAGAAAAGTGTCAGAGGGTCGAGGAGTCCACTGTCTGGTGTGGATCTTCAGAATGTCCTTTCTAGCCTGCAATAAAAATGAAATCACAGCATTTCAAGACCAGAACCAAAAGTCTGCAAGATAAAAACTAAAAACCATTATCCCCTTGTCCCAAAATCATTTGAGAATGTGCTCAGAGTTGCTTTTCTTTTTCTACAACCTAAAGATGCTGCTCATTTTAAAATATGTAATAGAATAAATGCCCACCAGCAAAGTAATAAAACCAATGATAGTACATTTCACATGACTATTTGAACTAAGACAAATCTAAGAATCATGAGATCCTAAAGAACCAAGTTTTTATCTCAAGAAGTTGCCATGCATTCAGAAAATCGAAAAAAAAATTACCTCCTATACATGAACAGGAGTGATAGGTGCAAACTACACAGAAATTACATTACTCCACATCATACGTGTCTGCTGGTTTTTGAAAGTTCATTATGATTTAACAACAACCTACATGTAAAATGTTTTATTATAGCTTCTAACCAATAAAGGATATGTAGAGTTTCTCACCTCTCTGTCAGGCAGGCCAAAGAGAAACTCTCTGTCAAAGCGTCCTGGTCTTCTCAGAGCTGGGTCGATGGAATCCAGTCTGTTTGTGGCTCCTATCACAACAACCTCTCCTCTACCATCTAATCCATCCATCAGAGCCAGGAGGGTCGACACAATGGAACTATACAGAAAGAGTAAGGCTCAGATTACCATCTGACTCTTGGTCAACTGAAGATGCTGGATTGTAGTGACGACTATATCAAAGTCATAGATTTAGTTGCAACAGAAAATGTCTTCTTCCAAGGACAGCAGCTTGATGCTGTCCTCAAAAGTGAGGATTTGTTTGCTTTTCTCCTATTCACATTGCTGACCACCTTTGGGTTATTTTACTGATGATCAGAAAAGTAAGCAATTTCAAGAGATCACTTTGGTAATGTCTGTTATTTGTCTGTAGTACATATTTATCCCCACTGTCCATGA